TCTCGACGCGGGGCTTGGCCGCAGCTGCAGTGCTCCCATCCAGGCTCCACTGCCAGCGAGGCAGAGGAGGACCCTGCCCCTGCAAGCGGGATGGGAGCAAAGAGCCTCGGCTGTAGCCAAGACACTTAAGGTAAAACCAGTGAAAACCTTCCGTGACTTCGCCTTTCCAACCCAACGTTCGGTCCTCGAGGACCATGACCCTTCGCCTCGGCAGCGAGCGGCTCACCAAGCCCCTGCGCGGCTGAATCGGAGCAGACGGCCTGTTAGAAAACGCAGCCCTGGGAACGGTTTGGCATTGGCACGGGGACAAACAGGACGAGTCCTAGGAGAGCTCTTTCGCAGCTTAGCATTTATGATTCGCTGTTGAAATAAAATGTGTTCTGCCATTACACGCCGCCCTGTGCGGCGCTCAGCTGCCGCGCGTCTGAGCGACACAACCGGCACGAGGCTCTTCTCTGCGGTAGAAGTGGTTCGGTTCTCGTCTGCGAAGAAATCAGTTTCCACGTAGCTATGGATGACGCTTCGGCTGAGGGCGAAGAGGAACAGCGGCTGCTCCGTCTCACCCGAGGCGAGCGTCTCACCAGCGCTGCCCTCCCAGCTGGGTCCCGAAGAAGGTGGGCCATCTCTCGGTGCCCTGCAAGGTGCTAAAGGATCCGTGCAGAAGCCAAGGGCAAACCTCTCCTTGACTCCACTGGAGCCAGGATTTCACCCACGGTCAGTTCCTCCTACAGAACTTTCCCGAAAAAGGCAGAACAATGAAAAAAAAAGCCCTGCACATGGTGAGTTGTTATCCTCAGCGATTCCCACAGCCGTTTTATTGCCTGAAGGAGGAAGAACGTGAACCCTGGAGGGAAGAACTTGCCAAAGTATTTAACATTTCTACGTCTTGCATAGAGCTAAAGGTTCCCAAAAATCTGAAAAAATAACTGCGGAGATGTTTACTCAAGGCCTAAGGCTAGGCTGAGTAGAGTTTGAGATGCGGCTCGCAGGGAAGGCGGCAGAGGGGAT